TTAATGATCTTATCGTGATGTGATGGTGTGATAATTCCATCTAAGGTTATAAATGAGGGGGAAGAGGTTGATGAGGTTTTACTATGAGAAATAGCTAAATGAGAGCCCTTTGTTGGTTTCCTGTAGTAATGTGGGGAACTCTAGTTGGTATGTGATTAGTCCACAAATTGAACTCATTTAGGGATATATTCTTATAGATTTTTAGTGTCCTCAAATGTGTATTTGTCTTAATAACTGATATAAATCCTTAAGTTTCAGGTAATTTGGAGTTTGAGGCAAAGCATGGACATTACTTGGCAAAAAGGAACAAAATGTATGAAAAGACGAAGATCACCGAGTCCACTCGGAGAGTCACCAATAGGAACGGATATTGCCTTTTGTTCCAGTGTGCTAAAGCCCGAAAGGAAACGACAAAGTCGGCCGTGAAAATGAGCAGTCAATGCATCGCCGAGCAGTTTCGTGAAGCAGTATCATGTCACTCAATGATCCAAAACACGACGTTGTTGAAGCCTAGACCAAGACGACGATTAACTATAATTAATTGTTGAGAGTTGTAGCTAAATATAAGAAGATATTGAATTTTTAGCTTTGAATGGTAAACTTTCATATTTTCTTCTATTTTGTGAGTTCTAAGTTTGAGAGGATTTTGAAGAACTTGAAGATTTAAAGGGGTTCATCTATGAGAATTTGGATTTGGGTCTCTTGGATTCTTCACTTTTGGCTTGGACCAAGACTTAAATCATCATTACCCATTTGAACGCAAAATCATTTATGTATGAATTTCTCTCTCTTATACATGTGTGGCCAAAATACCCAATTCGTTGGGTGTGATTTTGTGAATATAGGGTAAATTGGTTATTATGTCTTGCTTGCTGATAGTTTATTTGTAGTTTAATAGTTGTGGATGACCTTAATGAGGTTGTAGTTTAAAATATAATCTCATCTATGTGTTTTCGGCTTACAAGAGAGAGAGAGGTCATATAACTAAGATTACTAAATTGATGGCCGCTGGGATTGGGTCGACATGAGGTTCAACTCGAGAGAGTGAACCTTAGTCTCATTCCCACACACTCAACTCAAGAGAGTGAATGGGATAAGGCGGAGGATTATCTTCATGCGAAAAGTGGGTTTTCGAGAGAAATCCATTTGAAACGGGGTAAGTTGTTCGATAGAAAGCTTATCTCCATTAAAGTCTAGACAAGTCACAAATATTCTACGAATTCTCTATTAAAATCATGTACCTGATAATTTAGTTTATCCTATATTCCTATCACATCCCAAGAACCCCCATCTCATTGATAAGTATTATTTGTTATTTTTGTTGGTTTTACTCTTTAGCTAATAAAAAAAAAACACATTGTTATTTGACGCTTGTGTCACCCCTTATATCTATTATGTCTTTTATCGATAATGTTTTAAGTTATGGTTATTTAGAACTACTTCTTAACTTTTATACTATATTCTCAACTACGTAACTGCTTCCTTGGGTCTCGATCCCAACCCTAGGTTGGGTTATATTATTGCTTACGACAGTTGGACCTCGTACTGGAGGTAGTGTCTTGATAACCATGATGGTTAAAAGGACTTATCAGTATGGCAAAGATGATGAGAATATTTTAAGGAGATGGTTAGTAGGACATGGAGTTGTTAGAGTAATAAGCTTGAATGTGGTGTTGTTAAACATTAGGCGATTCTTGATATAAGCCCAATGTGGTGGTAAACAGTAATAGTCTTGTGATGAGATTCCCTATAGAGAGGTGTAGAACACCAATCTAAGAATTTGGGTTAAGCTTGAATATAGTAAGAGCATACCAGACTCAGACCTTAGTAAGAGTAAACATTTTCCATACCCAATCCACTCGTCATTCGAGGACGAACGATCCCAAGGGGAAGATATTGTAACACCCGAAAATTTTTGAACGATGACTCGAACCATCCTTCGCAGTGAATTATTTTTACCAAAATATTTAAAATTTCTTAAGTATTAATGTCACTAGATGTAGCACCTTTAATTCTAAAAAGAACTAAAGAGAGTTCATTCAAGTCATTCCTAAGTGATTCTAAGTTTTGAGTCAACTTGAAACGATCATAACTTTCAGTACATGATGAGTTAGGTGACCCATAAGATATCAAATGAATGGTATTTGAAATTATATTTTCAACTCCACTGAGTTTAATTTTGGAGTTTGGATGAGTGAGATATGCCCTTTTTAAGTCATCATGTCCATTTAAGAAAAGCTACCTGAAAATATGAGGGGTATTTGGTCTTTTCCTTATCCAGTCAGATTTAATTAATTTTTAGTAAGGTTATAGGGGTCTAAATTGATTAGTTTCAGTTTTATAATCATAATAAACACTTAGGATTTTAGTTGAGAGTTCAAGAAGAGAAAATAGGGGGAGGGAAAGGAAATGATCAAAGCGTTCGTCTAGATTCTTGAGTTCTTTTTTTACAGATTTTCACCAAGGGTTTAACCCCTAAGAGTTATGTAAGTTTTCATATTATTGGGTTTGTTCACACACGCGCCAATTATGTGCTTCTTTTACAAATTTCATCCATAAGTTTGAGTATGTTGAGTTCTTGAAGATTCATTCTAAATCTTGTTATGTCAAGATTTTGACTAATTCTTGAGATAAATCCTTGGAATTTGAGGTTTGTTTTGATTAGATTAGTATATACTTAGGTTAAGTATCCGAATCTAAGTGAGTGGGGAATAAGCCATTTGAATCTTGGCGAACTAGGGTGAGGAAAATTAGCAAAGAAATTCATCATTTAATAGAAGCAAAAATATAATCCTTACTTCCAAATCGTAAGTCATTCAATAGAAGCAAAAATATATAATCGATAGTATCAAGGAGTAAAAGGCAGTGATTAAGTGAAACTAGTTAAGTTGATGTTTTTTACCATCAGAGTATATATATGCTATGGTGGTATCAAAGAACAAAAGGTCGTACTTCACTCAAAACACTATTAATTATTGTTTGATACCACTTGAGTGTTTGTATATATATACTTACTTTGATGGTATCAAGGAGGGAAAGGTAGTAATTCAATGAAAACTAACTAAAGTGATGTTTAATACCCTCAGAGTATATATACTATGGCGGTATCAAAGAATAAAAGGTAGTGTTTCACTTGGAACAGCTTAGATTTCAAAAGGAATTGGATTGCATAAATTTTGTCTACCAATTCAGGTCTAGGAGACATGTCTATGGTTCGTAAAACATTTTATGGGTCATATACGAATCTCGTAGAAATGGGAAAATGATTATTTGAAAATCAAGATCCAGTACCTCATCCTACAGATGACCCGTACAGTATGTCAAGTGATCTACGAGTGGTAGATGTGTTCCGTAGAAGCCATCCATACTTGGTGAAATTTTGGGGTTTAAGTTGAGTTCTACAGTTAGGGTCTACAGACACTAGGATTTCCTACGAACCGTAAAGGGTCCCGTCAAAAGTTGTGTAATCTTAAGGTCACAGTACTTGGTCTATAGTTAACTAGTATAAACCATAGAAAGTTCTAAGGTTGCGTGTTTGACCCATAGACCTGTCTCACATTTAATTTTTAATGTCTTTTGGGTCTTTTCCTTAATGTTTTATGCTTGTACTATGTCATTTTTTCTTCTATCATACGCTCTATATAATCATTCTTTTAAAATCATTATTTCTTTTATCTTGTATGATGTATGATAAGTGGCTTATGTAGGGTCTTTCGGGGTTCTATACGTCATCTTACACCTAGGGTATACTTTGGGTTATGACATCACCAAAAACACTACTAGTTACTATTTGATATCATTAGATATATTCTTGAGGCTACTGACTTCTGTTTTGTCAAGCTTTTCTGTGTTGATGAAATTGTTTCTTTTGAAATATTGTATGACGTGTGCTAAGTGGATTGTTTAGGGTCTTTCAGGCTTCCATACGTCATGTTACACCTAGGATATACTTTGGGTCATGAAATCACTGAAAACGCTACTAGTTACTACTTGATACCATCAGAGTGTCTATATGTGTATAACTACAAGTGTTATATATATATATATATATATATATATAGTATCAACGAAGAAAAGCAGTGCTTCACTTTAAAAAAACTACTAGTTATTGTTTGATACTACCAGATTATATGTATAACCTGATGGTATTAACAAAGAAAAGCAATTCACTGAAAACACTACTAGTTATTGTTTGATAGTATCATAGTATTATATACCTTGATGGTATCAAGGTACTTATATTTTAATGCATGAGAGGGTGTATGGACGTAAATAATTTGGGTGATAGGTCCACTAAGGATAATGGTTCGGATTGAGTCCAATTTAGATAAATAGTTTCATGAATTGGTCCAATTTGTGTAGTTTTCTCATAATAATATGTATTTTTCCCAAAAGCACTCTTAAAACCATAACCTGATCACAAAAGATTCATGTAAAACTCATAAAATTTCAGTTAGAAACCATACGTAGATGATAGCTATACTTCGATTATCCATTGATTTCTCTCTCAAAATTCACCATGTTCCAAAAGTTCTCCAAAATAAAATAATTCAGATCATAATTTTTTAGTATTACAACATGGATGCATCTACTATTTTTAAAATTGTTGCACCAGAAAATGTTCAACATTATTTTGCAACCATAATCCTCTTGTACGGTCTCAAAATTCGATGATTCTTGTTGCTATGTGTCCAAAATAACTATAATCGCCGAAAGTATAATAAATATAAGCATCCTTTATTATACTTTTATTTCTATTGTATATATATAATAATTTTTACAAAATTGAAAAACTATCCGAATTAATTAAAAAGATTTTTGATCCCTTAATCTCTCCTTTCCACAAATTCATTTTACATATATTATGAAGTTATTAAATCCGAAATCCAATATCATGAATTAGTAACTGCTTATCATGGAAGACGAACACTTGGATGGTTTGAGAAGCTTAAGTTCCTTAAAACTTGTTTTATAGTAACACAAACTTTAGATATTGTACATGGTTTGTGTAATAATATGTACATATCCGATTTATAGCAATCAACACCAAGTTTCAAGTAGAAAATGATAGATATTCAAATCGCCAATTGTTATCTTATTGTGATGAAGTTTCCCAAATAAATCTTTGTCACACACAATACATAACATGTTGAAATTAGCAATCATAGGTTTAACTTGTACAATATTACTTATTTTAATTTTATTTCGACTGTCAAATAATCCCACCATCTGCGAAACATCAGAGGGTTCAGGGACCCTCCTGAATGGGAACTCAACACTGAATGATGATATAATAATGTCTGAGCATCTCCAAGTTGATGCGATCCTCCACTATGCCACGTCACGTGTGATACCTCAACAAACATTGGACGAGATCAAGATATCTTTCAACTTAATCAAATCACTAACTCCTTGTAATTTGCTAGTATTTGGGTTAGGTCATGACTCGTTTATGTGGTCATCGATGAATTCACGTGGCACAACATTTTTCCTAGAGGAAGATCCAAAATGGAGCAGGGCTATACTTAAAGACCTATCATTCATCCGTTCTAACACAGTTAGATACAGGACGACTTTGTATGAGGCAGAGAAACTAATCGACCACTACAATAAGGAACCGGATTGTTGGGCTAGAAAATCAATTTTACGAGGTAATACTAAATGTAAGCTAGCATTGAACACGTTATCGAAGGAAGTGTATGATAAAGAATGGGACATTATTATGATAGATGGTCCAAAAGGGTATTTTGATCAAGCACCGGGAAGAATGTCAGCGATTTATTCTGCTGCTGTTATGGCAAGAAATCGAAAAGGGCCTGGGGTAACACATGTAATATTGCATGATGTAGATCGCGATGTAGAAAAAGTTTATGCAGAACTTTTTTTGTGTAGGAAAAATTTGGTCAATGGTGTAGGAAAGCTATGGCATTTTGAAATTCCTCCAGCTACGGATATGAACACTGATTTTTGTTAGATTAATAAACATTCAATTTTTATTTTGACTGTTGTCTAATTTATTTTTCACTTATAAATTACCTATGTTATTTTTATTTTTTTTGCCAAGTTTATGATTTTTTTATTGCTTATGTTTGATTTATTACATATTTTACCCATATTTTTATGGGTTGAATATGGGTGTCAACTCATATTTTATCCATGTAAAAAATCACTCACCCAACCCATTAAAATATGTATGGGTTATCAAAATATGGACTCATTTTATCGGCACTAGTCACAGTAAACATCTTGGCTCATGAAGTCCATTTCCAATCTTTGAAGGCGCTTGTCAATATCAATGTGAATTTGGGCGGCTACTATTGTCAACAAAGAATGACGATAAAGAAGAGAAAGTTTCACCATCCGTTTTGAATAGCAAATTAAGTCCAGAAGTTTATATATTTATGTCTAAAAGTGTGATTGCAAAGAAAAGTAGTCTACCAACAAGATTTATTTCAACTAATGCTTATACAATTGATTTGGACAAGGATTCTTTTGATGAAGATTTAGAAGACAATATGCCGGACACATATTTTGATAAAGTGACAAGGGAAGGGGATATCACCTAGGTAATAAAGAAGTGGAAGCACATAAAGCAAAAAAGAAGACATGAAAAATAACATAGTTGAGACGAAAAAATGATTGAGAAGTTTATTCCAAGTTACCTACTAATACGAGTGGTAAGAAAGAATCTATGACAATATCAATAGCTTCAACAAGATTCAATAAATCCAAGAATAAATGAAGAACTACCAAATATTGTTGGACATTTTGAAGTTGAAGACAAGAGAACAACTTCAGGTTACTTTAGATGAGCAATGAATCCTTTTTAATCGATGAATTTGTAAAAGTAAGTTTGTCGTCGATAACTCAAGCTGCTTGTTGGTTTTTATCTTTCTGCATTATTTAAACATTCTTATTTGCAATATCATTATAAAGTGTATTACAAACTCTGTGGTAATCGCAAACCTAGTTTTCCCTAACTCTTAATTTCTTCATGCTTGTCAATTAGTAGAGGTTTGTGAATCTTTAGTGACCGTGGAAGTAGGTTTACCTTCAAGAAGGTTCAGTTTCCATTCTAAATGGGAAAAAGCTCAAATATGTCATCGAACTTTTAGTAAAGGCTCATTTATGTCATCCGTTAAAAATTTGGTTCATTTATGTCATTGCTGTTAAAGAAAAGGCTCATCCATGCCTTTTTTTTAATTCCGATTTTGCAAAACCATTTTTTACACACCAGAACAATGTTTAACACTTTTATATTGGTGTTTTTAGATCAAATATATACTTTTTGCTTGTTTTTCTTTAAACACCAAGAACACATGAAGAATATAAACAACTCCCAAATTTTCAACATCTTCAATTCTTCACGAAATCATCTCAAATTTCGGCTACATCATTAATTTCTCTTTTAAAAAATAAATTCTAACATCATTTGCAGAGTTCAAAAAATTCACCCATATATAAAAAATATATTCTAAAAAACGAAAATTAGTCCCAAAATTTTAAAATTTTCTTTGATTCTTATTTTTGTAGTTTTTTACATAAGATTTTTGTTGACTAGTGTTTTTTGAGTTTATGTTCATAATTTCAAATGATTTGAAGTTGTGGAGAATCTATCATTAAAGAGTGTTGAAGTTTTGAAACTTTGAAGAAATTTCAATTGGGTCTTGTTGAGTTATGTTGAATTTGAGCTCAAAAGATATTGAGTTTTGATATCTAGCTCGGAGCGAAAGTACCCTTGAAATTTGAGGCGATTCGTGAAGAATTGAATAATTTGAAACTTGGGATTTGTTAATGTTCTTATGTGTTCTTAGGGATGTAGAAGCAAAACGTATATATTTGATCCAAAAACACCAATAGAAAAATGTTAAAGCTTGTTTGGTATGTAAAAAGTGGTTTTACAAAATTGGAGTTAAAAAATGGCATGGATAAGCCTTTTCTTTAACAGCAATGACATAAATGAGTCAAACTTTTGATGAAATAAATGAGTCTTTTCTAAAAGTTCGATGACATATTTGAATTTTTTTCCTTCTAAAATTAATTAAATAACATACGTATTTTTATTTTGCAGATCTTTTTTATCATTTAACTAATTAACTCATGAGGTCTGTGTTTTATGAAGCTGTAATATCAAGGTTTAGAGAGAAATTTGATTCAGTTGTGTTTCAATTAATTTTGAAATAAATTCATCCGTTAAAAATTTTGAAATAACAAAATACATGAATAAAATTGTAACATTCATTTTTGTTTTGATTCTACATATGTTATAGGGTTCTTTTTTATGCCTTTTTAATTTTAAGTTATGGGATTGTTCGAAGATAAGTTTCTCTTTTCTAATTCGTGAACCTATAATATATACAATCATATTAAAGTCTTTGCTTGCAGTACTTTTGTCCTATAAACTGAGTTTCTTTTGGTTGAAAAGATAAACACTCAAAAACTATTTTTCCTTGAAAAACATCTGTGAGACATTAATCAAAAGGTGAAACCACCAATTCAAGAATAGAAGAACAATATTCTTGAATGCTACTTATTTTGTGGCTTAGTTAAATTTTGAAGATAGATTTGTTATTTGTTCTTCTGTTTGCTCGTGGGAGAGACATCAACTATAACTCTAAGAAATGTTTTAACGTGTCTTTAAGCCAAGCAAGTTTTGTTTTGAACTCCTTGTACTATAAGTATTCTTGATTCAAAAGTTTTGAATTTCAAACCTCCACAAGTTGAGATGACTCTAATCCATGTTACAAAACGGACATGTCACGACCCAAGGCTACCCCCTAAATATTACACGGCGTACAAGGCTCCGAAATATCTCATACAAGCCTCATAGAATATCATAACATAAGAACGTAGGAAAAAGTGCAAAAATTTAAAACATTTCTTTGCATTGAAGTCTCATATATAAACAAAATGGGAGTCTACAACACTATGTCTAAAACCATTTATAATACTTGAATAAAATCTTAGGACACAACCATTGCAAAAGTCAAAAACATAAGAAAAATAAAAAGGACATAATGATCAAGCCCTCAAGTACTATGAGGACTCACCAAGCTTCTTCTTATTGATCTACTATGATCCTAGCCACGAAGATGGAAGTCGATATAGCCGAACCCTACACTTGTGAAAATAATATAGAAAAATTATGAATTAACACATAATGTACTAAGTATGATAGTCATGCATAAAAACATTGAAAACATGCAAAACGGACATTTTTTTAAAATGCATGCACTTTGCTAGTTTAACCCATCAGAAAGTAGTGTGAAAACACAATTCATATGCAAAAGAGACATCATAATAAGACATAGGCTATAACATGGTAGGTAACAATCACAATTAGTGAGTATAACAAATATCATTATAAACATATACATAGTCATTACAATCTAGTTTTAGTATAATAGGAGAGCAAAACTTCATGATCCACTTCAAGGCAAGCTTGTGCAATGAATATATAAGAACCCATAATCCCATTCATTCTAAGTAAGTCACTTTAGATTCTCATTCATGTTTACCATCTTTTTAACTCATCTTTAGCCTATTTCTCATAGACAAGGAACATTCACTTTTAGTCAACTATATCAAGGAAAGCAACCCATGGCGAAAATACAAGTTAGCATCAAACAATATTAGAAGTAGCCTTACTATCTAATGTAATTGCAACCTATACTACAAGATCATAGACTATATGGACAAATCATGACATAAGAACTTACCATAATTACCCCTAAAGCCTACTTCTGCAATGCATGGATGAAGTCTCATACTTTTACCCATACTAAGTAGTATTTCCTAAATAGTCATAATTTATCCTAAACTTGATCTTCTAGGAATTAGCTATAACCAATAAAAGACCATGAAATTATCTGTCTATCTCACACCGAAAAGGGGTTGTCCTACTTGCCAAGAGTAAAACTATACTCTTAGCTTGGGTGAAACCAATAGCTAAGTAACCTATGTGGGCACATAATTTATGGGATAAGGGGATTGCTTCTAAAAATCCGACCTCTACTAACGTAAGATTTCCATCCCAAGAGATTATTCCTAGAAACCCAGCAGCTACTATCGTGAGCGTTCCATCTCATATCAATACATGCTAAGAATAATTTCCATTGAGTTTGTATCAAATACTTTTTTACTTAAATTATTAATTATGGAAGGGTGTCTTGACACACAACCCAAATCAAACTCATACTAAAGCTCCTAGATTCCATAGGGGAGACTAGCCTACAACCCTTGAAATCACCAAATATGACAAACCTTTCAAATTGTGTGGTATTCATGTCTAAGTGTGCAAGTCATAATCATCCAATCAACACAACAATTAGGTTATAATGTATTCATTTAACTCTTAAAAGCAATCTAACTAAATGCACACAAGTCTCATACACAACTAATTCTCATGATTTTGTCTTTCAAAGGCTATAGATCACAATCAACCAATCAATATAGAATTACTACATTAGATATAGGTGGTGAAATGATTCAATTAACGAGACCGCTACAAGAAAATCTCATACTATTCAACTCACTACAACTCACCCACATCACATAGTCACAAATTGGGATATGGGGGTTCATCGAATCTTGGAAGAAATTCAACATCAAAACAATAGAAATTCCTTGATTAATACATAATTTAAGTAATCAATCCATTATACTCATAACTCTACAACATTCTACTAATACAAATCAACACCCATACTTTAAGATCTAATTTGAGAAGTTAGTGAAATTCATGAATTTATGGAAGAATTTATCATAAAACAGCAATTAAATATTAATATAAGATAATTAAATTATAAAAACTTTTTGAGAAAGAATCCATGGCTTGGAATGAGAATCCTAGGTTTTGGATAAATTTCTCTTTGATAAATAGAGTTTTGAAGGGCTTTATGAAAGGAAACTATCCATAAATCACGACTGTCATTCCTTGATTGAAGAAACTCCATGAAATTGAGTGAGAAAGATGAGCTTTAAACCTTGACTTCTTTTTATC